AAAGGGGCGTCTTCAGCTGACCCGCTTCAGCTCAGCGGACAAACCCACGAACCCACAAAAGCCCACAACCGAAAGACGCAATCTTTACTCGCATTCTCTTCATTTGGATTTGTGGGTGATGGCTCTGAATGAATGACTGAGCTTTAGATCCCCAGATGCAGAAGAAGAGCTGGAGAACTTTGGCGGCAGTGAGGAAGGTGCTAACGTGCGCCATATGCTCAATAGCGCTATTGGCTCTTTTCTCTTTCTCGAAGGTCCCCAACTTCTCTGACCCCGTCAAGCTCCCCACGGTGATCCCCCAACCCAACACCTCTCTGTTTTCTCTTTCTTTTTCTCATGTGCACAAAATGCAAAAACAAAATCATTCAATTTTGCGATCTTCTTGAAAATTTAATATTTTTGAAAGTTGGTTTTTACCTTTTCCACAATCAGCGGGATTTAGATTTTGATCATCACCATTCCTTGTTCTTCTATATGTTACTGTTGGGTTTGTTAGTTATATAAAGGCTGTAGATTTTTCAATATGTATGTATTTCTGGATCTTTGACTCAACTTGTGAATAGCTTTTGAGATTAGGTGTGCATATCAATATCATTGATTCGACTGATACTTATATGATTGCTGATAAGTGTGACAAATAACAAAGGTAAGGAAGAAATTTGAATATATCAAATACAGATTTTATATATATTTTTTTTTTGAAAAGGAAATACAGATACATTTTGTCGAGCTGTTTTTATTTGGAGGAAAGAAAAAAAAAGAAAAAAAGAAGCTCTATATCCTTTTAGTTAGGAGTTAGGACATAGGTCTGAAGCTTATAGATTTAGATACGTTTGTTAATGTGAAAAAGTTATGCATCTTTCGTGTTTTCACTCCCTTAGACTTGACAGTTGGACGATTCGAGTGGGATTTTGGAAACTAAAAAGCGATGGAAGCCTCCTCCACCAAGTCTCAATTTGGTGCCATGTGTAGAACCCAGTCCCAATTATACATGTAAGTTACTGCTAGAGTTTTATTGTGTAGCTATGGCATATCGTTGGTGTTCCTAATTTACATTTTACTGTTGTTTATTCAGCTCCTACAGAGTCACGGGGTTACCTTCTGGTGCATACAAATGGTGGGCTCAACCAGATGCGTGCTGGGGTCTGTAAACACACTCTCTTGATATAAAAATATATGTAGATTGATCACAACATTGTATATTTTCTGTTCGAACCCCTGACACCGTGGGTGCTCTAGTTCTCTGTGCTGGTTGTGCCAACAACATTACTCTAATTTATCTATCTGCATAGCTGATTGTTGTGTTTCATAATTGTAGATACACAAGCAATATAATGTTTGGTTTGACTATGTATATGAAAATTTCATCATTAATTATCCATTATTTGATGAATATAATCATCTTACTGTTGCATGGAGCTAAAATATGTTGTCCTTGAATTGCAGATATGTGACATGGTAGCTGTAGCCCGCATATTAAATGCCACTCTTGTAATCCCAGAACTTGATCAACGATCATTTTGGAAAGACTCTAGGTAGCACTGTGGTTTTGTTTTACTTTTTGAGTAATTCTTTCTTTCATTTCTTAGCTGTTACGTCATTGTTGCAAGGATATGGTTCATTTGTTTATGCAGCAACTTCTCAAATGTTTTCGACGAAGATCATTTTATCAATGCTCTAGCTAATGATATAAAAATTATAAAAAAGCTTCCTAAGGAACTGGCTACTGGCCCCAGAGCGGTTAAACTTTTTAGAAGCTGGTCCGGTATGAACTATTACCAAGATGAGATAGCTAGGCTCTGGGAAGAATATGAGGTGCGGTTTCTGGACACTCTGGTTTATCTGATATTTTCTAAATTATTTTTTAATTAGTAAATCATCTTGTTAAACACATTATTCTTTTCTTAAGGTTATTCGAGCTTCCAAATCTGATTCTCGCTTGGCAAATAACAACCTACCTCTAGATATACAGAGGCTTCGCTGTCGTGCTTGTTATGAAGCTCTACGTTTTGCACCTCAAATTGAAACAATGGGAAAAGTAAAACTCAGATCTAAATGTTCATTTGGTTTCTGCACTGCGTATGTAACCTTTTTTTTCTTATTCCATAACGTTTATAAAAAAAAAATCTGTTTGATTAATGTTGTAGTTGTTAGTCAATCGGATGATGTCCTTTGGTTCTTATATTGCTCTGCATTTACGATTCGAGAAGGACATGCTTGCCTTTAGTGGATGCACACAGGATTTAACTTCAGCTGAAGCTGATGAACTAAGGATCATTCGGTATGAAATGCTTATGTGGCAAGAACTTATTTCATTTTATGGATAGTCCTCTGGCTTTTGTGATGCCTGACGTTTTATTTGGAACATGCAGAGAGAACACCCGATACTGGAGAGATAAAGAAATTAATCCCATAGAACAAAGATCCAGAGGGTTTTGCCCCTTAACTCCAAAGGAGGTTGGAATTTTTCTCAGCGCTCTTGGGTACCCATCAAGCACACCTATATACATTGCTGCTGGAAAGATATATGGGGGTGATTCTCATATGGCTGATCTACGATCTCGTTATCCAATACTGAAGAGCAAGGTATAATTGATGCTTATGCTTGATCATTTACATTTTTCTAAGTAACTGTGCTCCAAATGGAATATGATAAATCTTTTGGAATGCCTGTGGTTGGACTTGAAGTGAACATGACATTCAAATATACGAAGATTATCGATGGAAAAGTAGGACTGCTGTAACAAGGAATGTCTGGACATTACATTATGAGTACTGTACACCGATGGGATCAATTAATCTCCTTAACTAACTTTTGTTGACTCTGATGGATCTGTGCTATTGGGCTCCAGATGAAGAAAGTGAATGGTGTCTTTCTTCTGCTGCTGTATTTTTAATTCATTTGGATTTTATTATTTTTAGTGGAGGAAGGTAAATGTCATTCAATAAAAAAGATCAGGAGAAGCCCATTGTGCTAGCCCAAGTGGTGAGGGAGGGTGGGAGAATGAGTACAGTGTCAGCATAGATTGGTATAACTCATGGAAGTCAACCATCTATGTATCTCTCTAATTCATTTGAATGAGGATGGTTGGGGGTTAATAAAAAATTCCACTGTTATTTTGTAAATCATTTTGCATGTGTATCGTTTCTGGAGATGGGTGGGGGTGTTTAAAATCTAAACATATGGATTATTTTGTAATGCTGGTTTGTCCAATATTGGTCTTCACTTTCAGGAAACATTGGCATCCGTTGAGGAGCTTGAACCTTTTACCAATCATGCATCTCAAATGGCTGCGCTTGACTACATTGTTTCAGTTGAAAGTGGTGTATTTATACCTTCATACACTGGAAACATGGCGAGGGCAGTTGAAGGCCACCGTCGCTTTCTTGGACACAAGAAAACAATATCTCCTGACAGGCAAGGCAACTTTTTTTCCGAATATATGTAAATTTGAACTACAACGACCATCCTATGGCTATAAATGCTGCATTCTGAATCTGTTTCTACGCTACTCTCTGTTCATCAGAAAAGCTCTTGTTGGTCTGTTTGACAAACTTGAGCAGGGAACTCTGGAGGAAGGCAAAAACTTATCAGATAGAGTTATTGAAATACATAGGAAACGGTATGTTATCTCACCAAAAGCTTTGAAGTTCCATGAGAATCATTTTAGCCCAACCAATATCATTTCTGGTTATTGTGAATTGTAAAACATTCATAAATGTTAATTTTTCTCAAATTTATTGCATGATGGGTAAAACCCAATTTGTCGTAACTGTTGTGATGGTGGTTACACAGGCAAGGCTCACCCCGGAAGAGAAAAGGTCCCGTTGCAGGACTTAAGGGCAAGGAAAAGTTACGTTCAGAAGAACCCTTTTATGAGAACCCTTTACCAGATTGTTTGTGTAGGAAAGAATTTCCAGTGCAAACAACTCTTTAATCCTCTCAGATGTTGCAAATGATTCCACTTGACAAAGATTGCTCTGCTGGTAGGGTGGTGACACTATCATTCTTTGCAATTTATTGTAACTTTATGAGTTGGTGTTGCCATTGTACGCATAGCGGTGCGAATTCTTTGTATATATCACGGTGTTGAAGAGCAAAATGCAAGAGAATGCAGGTCGGGGAATGAATTGCCGGAGGGGTCTTCCTTTTATAACCAAGGCATCCTTATTGTGTGCTTTGCTAAGTTTCTATAATTAGATAGAATGATTCATTGGGGATGCTAAAATGGATTATTGTTTGTTTACAAAGTAACAAGCAGTCTTCATGTATTCATAGACATTCGATGCAATAAAAGTGAAAGCATTGATTGTTATTTCTGTTTAAAACTCTAAATGATAAATTTGAAAAGGAACTGACCAAACTTTAGGTATCATGCATTCACATTTGGGCTCTATATCTCTGATTATGTTCTAGGTCACGAGAAAGATTTTAAAAAAAATTGAAATGACATTTTTACCCCTTACCACGAACGTCTGTCCTGCAGGATTTCTAAAGCAAATTACAAACCCATAATCGTCCACATTGTTGTTAGTCGACTTGGGTTGGTTTTGTCGGGTACGAATATCTAGATCCCAGTCAGGCATTAAAGATAGGATAACACAATATCATAAGCCACACGTAAACTACATCCACGACAGTGGCCCACATTAGTATCCTCTTCCTAGTCTCCACACTTGAAGAACAGCCTTGACTGTTTAAATGGAAACTATAGACTAGACAGCTTCTCAAGTTTTCTCAAAGACAACAAGGCAATGGCGGTCTCCTTCCTATCAACTGTCCCTTCCTTGCTTCCACTTGTTCCTGTCCCTCTCAACATTGCTGCTACCTCTGGCTCCAGATACCCAACTGTTTCTGTAAGTTTTCTTTTTGCCTATGGTACGTACTTGTTTCTACACGTCTTTTGAGAAATGGGTTGCTCTTATATGACCGAAAAGTGCTCTTCGTTTGAATTGTTTTCATTTGAACCCAGTTGTTTGACATTGCTTATATGAGTAGTGATTGTAGGTTTTGTGATATCGAATTTCAGGTTACAATTCGTTGTAATAAAATTGAAGTTGATACTGCTAATGAGGATAGGTTTCATAGGAGGGACATTCTCAAATGTGTTGGTGCCACCATTGGCATGGTGAGAGCTTTCTTCTCTTTATTATTTGTGAAAATAATGTATCTACTTCATTAAGCTCTGGCAGAGACCCAATTTTCATTATGAGCAACGATATCCATATTTATCATTAAAATGCAGCTCAACTTAATAAATGTAGAATTCCATAAATTAGAGTGAATTGATGATGAGTTTCTGCCAGTTGTAATATCTTCTTAGGAATTGATAAGAAGCTCAGGAACATTTGTGGAAGTGGCTGAGGCTGCTGATCTGATACAACGCAGACAGCGTTCTGAATTTCTTTGTAAGTTTTTTGAATGCTTGTTTCCAATGCTAGACTTGAATCATCTACAATATGCTGATCCAGATGCCTTTTCCCTTCTAAACAGCAAGTATCAAGGACACCCTTTTTCAAGCTATAAAGGTAAATATTAGTGAGAGTCATGCTGTATTTAGACTCCATTCACAGTTTAGATTCATCATTCTTCAACTTCATGAGATATTTTCTCCGATCTCCTGTTCGTTTCAGGCAAATCGAGACATTATCCCATCCTTACTAACTCTGGCACTGAATGATGCTATCACTTATGATAAGGTCAGACAAAAAACTTTGCCCTGTGAATACCATAATATTTCTTTGTTTGGTTAAATATTACTGAGGGAGGAATACAAAATACTTACCTATTTCTGATCAATGTTTTAGGCTTCAAAATCTGGGGGACCAAATGGATCTATCAGATTCAGGTAAACATTATGCACAGGATTTTCTTTAATATAATTTTTTCATTGAAGTGTAACCTTATTCCTCCTGTAATCTTATATTCAAACTGAAGTGGGACTTCATTTTTACTCTCTTTAACTTTCTTTATGCAATTTAAAGTGAAGACAACTCTCTGTTTATGATCATAAAAAGGATGCTTTTCCCAAAGCAACCGGATGATATTTTAGGATGTTTACTCTTCTGATTTTTCATTTTACTAGCTTCTGGATCTACCAGGCACGAGTTCTGATATTGTTAAAGTGTTACAACTGAATGGGAAAAGGACTAAAAACGTGAACTTTGCATGAAATCGTTGCATTGCAGTTTCAGTTTCTTCTTGCTCTATCCTTTCTTTTCTCTGTGCAATTTGGTTTTCAACCTTGTACAGAAGCTACCTTCACTTTCTTCTCCAATTTTTCTTGCATAAAGCTCAGAGATAAGCAGACCTGAAAACAAGGGGCTCACTGCTGCTTTGAATTTCATAGAAGAAGCAAAGAAGGAAATTGATTCGTATTCCAAGGGTGGACCCATTTCCTATGCTGATCTGATCCAATTAGCAGGTTGTACAATATCACAATATTTGAAACACGCATCGTTGACATGGCATTGAATGACACATGGGGGTTGTTTGATAAACTGGTACCATGGTCTATAATTCAGTTTCCTTCATTCTATACAGCACAAAGTGCCACAAAGCAAACCTTTCTTGCTGCTGCAATTCGCAAATGTGGAGGGAATGAAGAGAAGGGAAATTTATTATACACTGCATATGGTTCAAATGGTCAGGTTTGTTCTCCATTTGTCTTGTTTACAGATACTCCAAATACCTTTAGGTCGTTATTGAAACCGTTGATTTATAATTTATATGGTCGGTGTTTAAGTTCTTGATATATTGAATTAATTATTAGATGAAATTATTTTAGTATCAATACTACATGGTACTCTTTGTGTGATTTCAGCCTGAAACAGCTGATTATTAAAATGGTGTTTGAGAATGATTCTCACATGAAAGTTCAGTTGAGAAATAACCCTCACAGTTGTCTTTGTTAGTTGATCAACCTGATGGTCCTCAGAGACATAGGATGTCTTCTATTTTATTTTCCCTTTTCCAGGATCAGATTCTAAAACAAAACAGGGTTCCAGTTTTGTTTATGAGTTAGCCAAGTTCTGTGACTCAGTCAGTGAATTTGTAATGAAATTAGGCTCTACTATATAAAACTAGCTTTTTTCATGCCAGTTAAATCATGGGTTAAAGGTTTGGTAGAGTTGATTCTTAAACTGTGTCGACATATTAATTCTTCCTACTGCATTGATGCATTTTCAAATCAAATGGGGTTTATATTTGAAGTGATTGTGCAAGTTTCTTTCTCCCCACTTTTTGCTTAGCAAGATTTGAACCTAGGACCATCCTCATCGCAACCTTACCACCTGAGTAAAGCTCAGCTGGCATGGGGAATTTATTTGATGTAGGAATACTTGTTTATAAAGCTTATTAGAGGTCCATACATACATATAATTAGCTGCATTAATTTTCTTCACTATAGGAAATTATGGGTTAAGGCATGTAATGCATACAACCATTCTTGTGCCAACAGTGGGGCTTGTTTGAAAGGAATTTTGGACGGAGCGATACCCAGGAGCCAGATCCAGAGGGAAGGGTTCCCCAGTGGGACAAAGCAAATGTGCAGGAATTGAAGGACAAGTTCTCTGCCCTTGGCTTGGGACCCCGCCAGGTTTTTTTAAATTTCTTTACTTATACAGCTGCAATTGCAAGTTAGGATCGTTCTTCTTTACCAAGTTCAACCATGAACCTTAAAAGCAAACAGACTTGCAGCGCAAGAAAATCACTCCATGGTTGAACTTGTGAACTTTAGATGAAGAAGAATGGTAGTTCTTGTAGCAATGGAAGTTCTTCTGTCACTAATTTTGGGGTCATTTTTAATGATTATTGATTCTAGCATATTATTGTTTTGCCAGCTAGCTGTTCTGTCTGCATTCTTGGGTCCTGATCAGATAGCCACAGAAACCTTATTAGCTGCTGATCCTGAAGTTTTTCCATGGGTTCAGAAATATCAACGTAGCCGAGAAACAGTATCCGAAACAGATTATGAGGTCAGTGCAAATCTGGAAATATGTCTGCATGGTTTTGTTAACATTTTAGATCTCACTGTTGGTTTAAAATTCTCTTTCAGGTTGATCTGATCACTACTTTCACAAAACTGAGTAGTTTGGGACAACAAATCAATTATGAGGCGTATACTTATCCAGTCAAAAAAGTAGATTTCAGCAAACTCAAATTGTAGAGAGATCACAATACTCACTAGAGCAGTTCCAGCTCCAGCTAGTCAACCCTCGATTCTTGCAACAATCTTATAGAGACTCATTTGTTGACCCACGGATAGCTAAAATGTTATGAAAATGGAAAAAATTAACAAGAATGAGGTTAAAGAGGTTATTGTGGTACCTACTGCCAATGCCGGCAGTTTCAGTACAATATTGTATGTCCCATATTTACCAGCAGTTTCAGATCAATGGCCATTTTCCACCCCCAAAATTTAACAATGTGAATCTTTGAGCCGCTCAGCTTATTATTGGTGTTTTAGTTGTTGGGTTAAGGAAACCATCTCTCTTTTCCATTTTTGTTTTCCTTTTACTTCTCTCTTTTAAACTGTGTAATGTCACATTTTCACAACCAATGCAGTGTTAGTTGAAGAGAGAGAGATTCATATGATTGATGAGCAACTGCACTGAATATGGAACTCCCTCTGTTGGATTGCTGTTATATTGGAACTTCCCAACAGCCAAGACTCTACTGCTTTAAAACTTCAACCATGCTGGGCTGGTTTGAATCCTAACAACAAAAAATTGGATTCCACAGATAGTGCGATTCACTGCAACCGATGACGAGAACTCAAAACACTATATAATGTGCACCTCATTTTGGTGCAAAAGATTCCAAAGAAACTGAATGACCAACACATTTGCTGTCTTTCTTATGCTCTCCCCTCCCTCTTATGAAAGATTTTGTAACCAAAAGAATGATCCCACAACAATTCCTTAAACAAAAAGATTACAATAATCACACCATCCTATCTAGGTTTAGGATGTATAAACTCAAGTCCACCCATAAAGGGCCTCAACGGCTCAGGGATAATGACAGAACCATCTTCTTGCTGGTTATTCTCAAGTATGCATACGATCATTCGTGGCACTGCACAGGCTGTTGCATTTAATGTGTGGACAAATTGTGGTGGAGCAAGGTTGCTTTTACCCTTCTTAGGATTTGTTAGTGCTGGTTCTGAAGAACGAAACCTGATCCCAAGACGACGGCTTTGATAGTCTGTACAGTTTGATGCGCTTGATATCTGTCCACCATTCATGTAGGATCAGAAGATTTCAGAAGAGCTTACTGAACAATGACCCCATATATCTTTTGCATATCAAAAAACAAGCAGATTTTATAGCCTATGAAACCAAGATGCAAGTTTTCTTCCTTTTTTCTTTTAGGGAGAGTGATAGAGAGAAATCATTGCAATACCTCACCAAATCTCGCCAAACCAGGCATCCAAGCCTCAATATCAAATTTACGATAAGCGGGTGCACCTAAATCCCCAGATGCCATGTCCAAAGTTCTGTAAAGAAACTCGACATTACCAATAACATAAAAAAGCCAAATCATATGGACAATCAGAAGGTTGTGTAGAAGTACTCACTTATAATGTAATCCTAGTGATGAGAATAGGTCTTCTTCAATTCTTATGAGCTCTTCATGGTAGAAATCACTCTCCTCTGGTCGGCATAATATAAACATCTCCACCTTGCTGAATTGGTGGACTCGGTACAGACCCCTGGACAGAATACAACCAACTTATTGTACGATGGACAGAGTCCAAATGTCTCATAGAATATGCTCTGCATGCACACAAGTCTATGAGAAACAAAAACCTAATTGGGTATAACCTGTGCCGAAGACAAATGCAAAGTAGGTAGATCAATCTTTAAAAGGTGGTTAAAACACATCAGTTTAGTGGAACTAGTAAACAACCTTCCACAATATGGAGATACTGCTAAAGCAGAAGTTGTAACAAAAATCAATTTTGGACCACTTGTTTGTTTAGAAAATTAATACAATTGATGACAATACTTTCACTTGTCCACAAAAACAGAGTACAACTAAAATGCCAAAGACAATAGACCATGACGCATTTTGAACTTCAGATAGCAACACCGAAGACATTTTTTTTAAGATTTCAAATCTGTCACAAACCAAATCTACCCACAGTTAGATTGAAATCGATCCAAGCATTCATATATTCCTCTCCTAAATTCTTGTTAATAGATAATAAACATTGATTAAAAGAGAGAGCCAACCAGTGGGTCCCTATCACAATCGAGCATGAATAAAATGTTGTGAAAATTCAAGGCATATAACACCACACATGATTTTGATGTTCATTGGGTAATATAAGGGTCACCACCTTTGGGTGGGGTAGAATGGAGAACTAAAGCATGATCATATTACTGATGTTGGCCTATTTGGACTGTTACAGGGATATAAATTGCCAAAGGGTAGATGTCCTTTAGAACAATTTGGGCTTATGTATTCATAAGCTGTTGCATTTAACTACTTGTCATGCTTTTTGTAATTTCTTTTGTTTACTTTAAAAGTGTGTTCTTATCGGGAAAATATATATATAGCTGTTGTATTTTATTAATAATTTAAAATAGTAAAATAGATTAAGAAAGTTATTGAAGTTCATATAAACTGCAAAGAAAATGTGAGGTCACTGACAACAAAAGAAATATAGTGTGCTGATAATTTACCTTGATGCTGTACCAGCAGCGCCTGCCTCAGTACGGAAGCAATGGGAAACTGCCACATATTTCAAAGGTAACAACGATGCAGCAATAATAGAATCCATATGAATTCCCCCAACAGGAATCTCTGCAGTCCCGATGAGGCATTGATCACTATCCTCGATAGAATAGACCTGTTTATATTTAGCAAGAGATAAGACAGCATTTTATTTCAAGCAGAGTATGAGAAAGGAATGTATGAACTAACCTGGGTATTTGCTCCTTGGGGTTGGAAACCACATTTTTCAACAATGGAGGATCTTACAATTTCTGGGGTTGTCAAAGGTGTGAAGCCCCTCTTCATGACTTCCAAGAGCGTCCAGTTAATAAGGCCCATCTCTAGCATCACTGCTTCATTTTTAAGATAGTAAAACTTTGAGCCACTGACCTGTAGAAATTAGCAAAAACTTAGTTGCACAGAAAAGAACCCAATCCCATGTAAAGTGGATCCAATATCCATTTAAACCTTGGAACAAGGCTTAGTTTTATATAAGGAGGACCTAGAGGATTTATGAAACTTCCAGTTTATCCGAGCAAGATTCCCAAAAATATATCTTTAACTCTTTACAAAGTCCTATTTAACTGCTAAGATTATAAATAAAATGGCATGCTTTGCTTCATTTACCATACAGCTCGAGGCACTTCAATACATTATATGAGACAAAAAGACTACCTCCGACGCAGCATCAAAATCAAAGAGATCTAGTTCCTTTCCAAGTTGAAGATGATCTTTAACAGGAAAGCTAAACTCATGTGGGGTGCCTACCTACAAAAGCGCGTAGAAAATGAGGAAGAATGCAGAATGAACCTAGACTACAAAACCTCCCTCTTGAGTGTGTGTGTGTGTGTGTGTGTGTTTGTGTGTGTGAGAGAGCGAGAGAGAGACAGAGACAGACCATCTTTCTTATGGTTGAAAAATCCTCCCCACCAATCGGGACATCTGGATGAGTCATATTTGGTATACATTGTGCTTCTTGCTGAAGCTCATCAGTAAGTTTAAGTAGGTCTTCTTCCAAAGAAAGTAGCCCTTCCTTGAGATTCTTTCCTGCATGCAAAAGATGAAAGATTAACTCAAATCTAAAAATCAATCAAGAAGCAGACCAACAGATTAATAAACAAAAGAAAGGCACAATGAATGTTCCAATGATACCTTCCTCTATGAGTCTTTGACGCTCGGATGACTCCAACTTCCCTTTCATCTTGTTTGCCACCACATTCCTTTCCCCGCGAAGCCGTTCAACTTCCTGCTTTCTGGGAGTAACAATTAGCTATATAAAATTGAGAAACAAAACACCACTTTTCTAAAACACGTAAGAAGTCCAAGTTCAAACTACCAATACCATATCTAACTCTAAAGCCAATTGCGCAACATAAAATAAACCCATCATGGGATTAAAGCAACAAAGCTATAAGTTTTTAATCAAAATTCAAAATGTCTGCAAAACTTGTGAAGATTCAACAAATCAATCACTAAAGTTAAAAAATTGACCTTTTGAAGATTCAGCATTTTGTGGTAGAGCTCAAGCACATGTTCCAAATTGGCATTGGAATTCCTCTTCTTTATGTTGGCAGCAACCGCGTCCTTGTTGTCCCTTATCCACTTGAAGTCTATCGCTGCTTTCCATTGCAGTTTCATACCTACTCGCCCCAAAACAAAATATCAACTAAAAATAAAATCTAAGAAAACTCTAATTTATTTCAAATACAACTAAGTTGTGAAATGAGAGAACCATTTTCATCTGGGCTGGTTGTTTTTGGTGTTGCGGTGGCAGTGGCTTGTACGGCCGGGGCTGAAAGACCTCTGACGAAGAAGAGCTGAAGTGCAGGTCGTCTACGGCTATGGCGGTAGAGGAAGCTCTGGGATAATGGTTTAAAGACGGAACGCAAAGAAGAAGCAGAAGGTGTAGGAATTGTAGCGAGCTTCAGGGTTTGTAAGGTTGTCCCGCCCAAACCCATTGTTTAGCTACAGAGTCTGCGAACCTGTTTCAGTGGGTAACACAAAAGGAGTGCTTGGAGAGGAAAAGTGAACGGTTTTTTTTATATATTTATAATAACTAATTTATCTTTCTTTCTTTTTTTTGTTGGTCAAAATAACTAATTTATCTTCAACCTTAATATTTTGCAAAATAAAATATGACCCAACTTTCTTAAATCCCCCAAAATTTATGTGTTGCCGTGTGTTTAGGTCACAATCTGACTGAAACACAAAATTATTTGTAAGATATTCATATTGTGGGGAATGATTTAATAGAGAAAAAAAATCATGAATCCTTGTATACATTGGTGGTGTGATGTGAGCCAAAGAGTTTCTATAGCCTAAGTTAGTTCCAAGACAAGAAGAAGTAGGGTTTCTTAGGTCAATGGAACGTTGCCTCCCTCTTGTGGTGGAAGTCGGATTTTTATATGACTCGTTAGTGGTTGGTTTATTGTCGTGACATGATGTATATTGGCACTAATTAGGGGAGTTATGACCCGTAATTTTACACGTCTAGTCAATTAGCTATTTGATTTAGGACGTGTGAAATATTTGCCTAAAATAGGTGGGCATGTTCTCCTAGATTAATGATGCTACAGTAATTAGGAACCACACTCCTATCAATTCTGGCATAGGAATGAACCTCTGCTAACTATAGACGATTAAGTTACTTAGCTCCTCATTAATGAGCGATAAGATGTGCTTCTGGTTTTCGCGTCCCTTTTACTGTGGTGCCCTGTCATTAGCGTGCTATTATTTGTTTCCACACATATATATTTATATGCTTGGAAAATATGAGTCATATATATTTATTTATAGACCTCCCAAACTCTAACATTTTGGGTTCTAGTGTTCAATTTGAAAGCTCGTAAAAAAATATTTATGTGATTTACTAGAGGATCACATATATAATGTCAAAAATAATCCTACGAGTGTATAGCCTAATACTAACTTGTAAATTTAAAACAATGATATTATTAGTCTTGTTAACAAATTTGTTACATTTTTTGTTAAATTTAGGGACAAAATGGTCATTTCAAGCACAACCCCCATCACTTAACACCAACTTCATCACTCCCGCTACCACCATTCACATCACCACAAGCAAAGAATAATCTCACGATAGAGACATAGAAATTATTTCCTAACCAATATTAGATAAACAAATAGGGGAGGGTAGGGGAGGTGGTGTGTTGGGGGGAGGGGTTGGGGTTGGGTGGGTGTTGTGTATGTGCATTGGGTGTGTGCGTTGAATTAGGGGTGATTGGGTGGGGAGATCAATTTTGGGTAGGTTTGGGGTGTTGCGATGTGGCTTCGAGGTGGTTTACATGGTGGAGGTTTAGATCAAATTTGTTGCTTGAGAATGGATGGATAAAATTGGTGGAGGAGGTGGGTGATTGAACATATGTCGGAGAACGGGTGGTCGATGGTTGTGGTTGGGGTGGGTAAGGGTGGAGATTAGGACTGCTAGTGTTTTTCCTAGCAGAAGGAATGTGCAAATATTATTTTGCCCGGCCCATAGGGTGTGCAAGTTGGGCGACGACACAGGGCCTGCAAAAATTGGGGCCTCCTATAAAACCTTTTAACCCAAGAGTTATCGTAAGTGAAAAAAAAATAAAAAAATTTAATGTTGTGACTAATGTTTTTTGGGTTTTATTCTAAAAAAAATTGGGCCAATTTCTTCATTTTTCATATAGGAGGAATTCTATAGTGGGCCTCTTTTACATAAACTAACAAACATAAGACCCGGCTTTAAACTTTTTATTTTAATTTTTTTTCAAAATTAGGTAAGTGTTGAACATAAAAGGCCTTAATTTTTTTTCCTGCCCTCATCCTTCAAAATTAATGGACCGGCCATGATTTTGCCCATAATTTTGAGAGAAAATGTAACGTAAGGATCAATGATAGCAATTGGCATCCATGCCGCTAGTGCAGGAGACTTTTTTCCCATCACGTGCGTGTGGGATACTTTTGTCCCATCTATCATGGCGCAACTTACAATATTTCAAAAATAATTTCCTATCATGCGCTTAGCGCAACTCAAAATTTAACCAACAAACCCTAAATCATAAAAACTTAACAATAATAATTAAAATTAAAAATTAAATAAAAATAAAGAGAGAAACTTACTAAGATTGAAGAACCTACTAAAGATATATTGATACAATTTGGGAGAGGAAGAGAGTCACTTCTTCTTTGGTTCTCTCGTGCTTTTAGGCTTTTAGGCTTTTTTTTTTGTTTGGCTAGGCTTGCTTCCTGGTTGTAGGCTTGTTGACAAGACCCAACCCAAATTCCACCTTAGAATATGAGCCGAACCATGTGTGTGTCCGACACCTGGCAGGTGCCGGGCACACTTAACCAAATTGCTCTTCTAACTAAAAACCAAAGTTTTTTTAGGGTTTGACTTTTGCCGAAAAATCGGCAGAGCCTCCCCTGTAAATTGCTCATTTCCTAAACTTGTTCACTTGTACAATAAGCAATTTAAAACCACAACCGTTCAGCATGCAACAAGTTTGAATTCAAGCAATCCAACAACAAAACTTCATGGCCTCAGGCCTTACAGAAATCCTAGGACAATTTCAGGGCAATATTAATATAATAATTTACAAACGAAGCATGGAAATGTGAGAACATCCCACATAGAGAAATATGAGGAACGATGAGTGATGGTAAGACCTGAGGCCACGAAGTTCTATTGTTGGATTGCTTGAATTCAAACTTTTTGCATGCTGAATGGTTGTGGTTTTAAATTGCTTGTTATACAGGTGAAAAAATTTGGGAAATGAGTAATTTACATAGGAGACTCTGTCGATTTTTTGGTAGAAGTCAAACCCTAAAAAAAATTGATTTTTAGTTAAAAGGAAAATTTGGTTAAGTGTGCCCGGCACCTACCAGGTGTTTGGCATGTACAGGGTTCGGCTCAGATTCCAAAGTAAAATTTGGGTAGGGTCTTGTCACTTGTTTTATTTTTTTATTTTTGGGTCAAATGGTTGGAGGCTTTTGTTATATTATTTTCGTTGGTTTTTTTTTTTTGGGGGCTTAGTGGATTCCTTATCCACTCCTTGTGTGTGGGTTTAAAGATGTCTAAGTGGGTAGCCTTCGTTTTATATAGAGTGATAGGCTTACTTATGTATAGAGGGGTGGCTACAACCACCATTTTGTTAATTCAATGACCAAAATACGATACAAATTCAAGAACTATTGCTCAAAATGTGAGTTTTTTTTTTCCTTTAATGTGACAGATTAAATTGGCTAATGAAATTAAACACATTCACTAAATTTTATTTGGTAGGAATAATTTGTTAATCTCGGGTGAGAGAGTATACTGGTTTGGACCAATAGGAAGCGACTATTATAGTTTTACAATCCGTGGCACAGACAAAAGGCAACATCTGAACCGTCGATTAAGGGTCGGAAAAAAACACAAGAGGCGAACATAATAACCGTCCGATTAGGCAGCGGGACAAACACAGTAAATGTGAAACGTGGCCGCCCGCGACCCCGCCGTCACGTTGAGTTGTTGAACCAGCACTATATATAACGCACAAACAGTACAACCTCCAATTCGTACCCAAAATTCTGATCTTTTTGTTTTCTGAAAACCCAATTTCCTCTCTTTCCCAAAACCCAAAAATTCGTCTTCTACTCTTCGAATCTAAGAAATCCAAAAGGTAATCTTTCTTTTCCTTTTTTGTAATTTTTTTTATGTTCTTTTCTTCTTTGATACAATTCATTTTTGGTTGCTTCTATAATTAGGAAACTAGGGTTCCTAGATTTTGTTTCAAATTGGGGTTTTATAGAATCGAATTGGGTTGTGATTTTTGGGATTCAATTGTGGTTACAGATGGCCCGTACGAAGCAGACTGCTCGCAAGTCCACCGGAGGCAAGGCTCCAAGGAAGCAACTTGCCACCAAGGTCCGTACATAACCCCTTCAAACCCTAGTTTTTTCCCCTGATCAGTTTTGTATCTTATAAATTTGTTAATTCTGATTCGGGTTTTTTTTCCAGGCTGCTCGCAAATCAGCCCCAACCACCGGAGGCGTGAAGAAGCCTCACAGATACCGCCCTGGAACTGTTGCCCTCCGGTACGTATTCAAAAACCTACCCTTTGGCTCTGCCTACAAAGGTGTTAAATTTTGATTCTGGGTTTCTTTGGAAATAAGAATTTTGTTCCTAAGTTGTCCTTGTGCTGTAATTCTGATTCTGGGTATTTCGTAAAAGCATAATGTTTTGTTGCTGAATTTTGATCGTGATGTGTTTGTGAATATGACGCAGTGAAATTCGCAAGTACCAGAAGAGCACAGAGCTGCTGATCAGGAAGCTCCCATTCCAGAGGCTGGTTCGTGAAATTGCCCAGGACTTCAAAACCGATTTGCGTTTCCAGAGCCATGCTGTTTTGGCCCTGCAGGAGGCTGCCGAGGCATACCTTGTTGGGTTGTTTGAGGACACAAACCTCTGTGCCATTCATGCCAAGCGCGTTACAATCATGCCCAAGGACATCCAACTTGCCAGGAGAATTCGAGGCGAGAGGGCTTAAGGCAGAATTAGAAGCTACAATATGTAAAGGGGGCTTGGTGGGCAAAGCTTTGATTTGATTGAATTTGTCATGAGTTCATGATTATAGGGCTGGAATGGTTTTGATTTTAGGGTTTTTAAAGTTTGTTTGGTTAATTTGTAATCTTTAACGAGTTGTGTTGAACCTGTTCTAAGTTCTATCTACCTGATGAATGCAGTTTATTTTTCATATTGCTTGGCATGTGATGGTTTGGTTCATTTCTTGAATTCTCTTTTGGAGGCCAAGTTGCAATCTCTATGTTGTTGCACAGTGCACTTGCAATGACATCTAGGTTCGCATTAGCTGTTTAAAATTATTTTCTTAGCATAAGCAAGTCTATAGCTTGTGAATTATATGGTTGGGGTCCTGCCATTTTTCTGGGAAATTATGGTTGGCTAGACCTAAATTTAGTTTGTTCATCTGCTTAACACCAACCACCTTGTCTTTTCGATCCACCTGATGGTAGAACCGTCCCGCCCTAAGGAGTGGCACCATGCTGTCGCGGGGGGTGGTGGTGTGGTTGTAGATACCATGATGCCAAGGTCGTGGGTGCCCGACTGACACCCTTAACCTGCACAACCACGCCACAACATTCCTGGGCAATGCAATGGCCATATCACCATCATTAATTACTGTTTATGCTGTTCAAAACGTATACATAAAACAAACCTTACCAACATCCCCGTGTCACAGGTTAATCTAACTTGGAATTATTCAGACAGTTAAAAAGAAGGGAGTTTCACTAAAACACCCAAAATGGAGGTTGAAATTATAAAAAAACCCAACACCCAAAACACTTTATAAACACACCCAAAACCCATCATTACACACACTTAAAACTCATTTATAAACACACCCAAAAAGTTGACTTTAGGGTTGATTTTGGGTGTGTTTCTATGTTTAAATAGTGCTTGGGTTTTTTTATAAATACATGTCTAGGATTGGATTTATTTATAAATTTGTATAAAAAGAAAGAAATCATCCACCAGGCAATGCTTCTTTATTATCAGAAACTCACTGTTGTACATCTAGTGCAAAAATTTACCATGAGAAAAGAAAGAAAAAAAAAAACATTTTTCATTGATGAACACTGAACAGCAATAATTTCATTTCATGAGCTACAGTTTTGCTGTATTCTGAGACGTGCCAAAATTTCTTATTAATTCATGGTTTTAAATAGGGCATTCCCTGAGAGTTCAACTCTCAATGTAGAAACTCATCTATAGGAGAAAAACTTGGATATAATAATTGAAAGCAAACCAAATCTTGGTTTTTATGCAGACACCGTCTACAGAGGACCTGGAAAGGTTCCGTTCTCCCTCTGCTCATTCCATCTCTCAATCTGGAACGCACAAATAGTACAACAGGAACACCGTTAACTCCTAAAGGATACAGGACAGACAGCTAAGCAGCCAACTAGAAAACCAGTATTGAACGAAATACAACATTACATTTATAGCAACTAAGCAGATATGCGTAAAGGATTATGTTCAAATCCCCCCACACGCAAATGAAAGTGCGGGAAGACACACAACTTACAAATCACTCTTGCCTTCAAATGTTTTTTAAAAAATATAAGAACCCTTCATATGTTTTTCTAACAACATTCACAAACAATCACGACATATACAGTGATGTTCTCTCCCAGTAGCAAAAACTTAAATAAGAAAGAAAAGAGTAGTAAAAAATTTAGGTTTTTAGTAAAAAAAAACTCATTTTTGCATGACATATTATACAAATACCCATATAGAGCCTATTTGAAAAGAAAAACCCAAAACTAGCCACTTGTCCTTGTTTATTAGTTCTTAGTGTGTTAAAATTTTCTAAGAACCAATTAGAAAATGACAAGTGGCTAGTTTTGGGATTTTCTCTCTAAATAGGCTCTATAAGGGAATTGTATAATATGTCATGCTAAAATGGGCCTATTAATGAAAAGCCCTAAAAAATTCTACAATGGTCCTAGCATAGAAAACATCTCAACAGAAACTTTTTTAAGATTTTGCTCGACATCTTTTGTAACCAGGGCAGAAAAAGTTGAAATAAACTATCAAAATAATGGGAACACTTATTTTCATAAAGTTCATATTTTGCTAATCTCAGAATAGGATTAAAGCTCTAACCATGCTCAAATATTCAGAAAATAGCAAGTGATCCAATTTAGAAAACTATTTATTAATGAGGTTCTGTTTCTATTATAAAATGCATTTAGAAAAGTACCAATGCTAATGAAGTACCAATAGAATGGCTAAAGATATTGGTTGATGTGAAATTTAAAAATGCAGAGATCAACAAGAATAAAACATTAAATTCAACATAAGATCAGCAAAAAATTAGTCCTGTAAAATGTTATTAAGTTGTGCAGAACTCCTCATTTTTACACAAGGTATCAATTGATAGTGCCCTTGTCAACCATTTTTTGTTCAGATCCTAAGTCCCACACCTACTTGTCAAAAGCCATGCCTCATGTAGAGAGGCAATAAGCCATACCAGTTTTCCCCTCTTCCCAATTTGCCACAACTTCAATTAAAAATCTAAACTTCTTCAATAGAAGAGGACTTGACAAAACTAAACTTAGAACACAATATGATTCAACATGTTGAGGATGCAGAAGGCCATACTTTAAATAGAAATGACAAACATTACAGTTTCTAGGACCTAAAAAAGTACTGAAAGTACATACCCATTCACCAGGGCAAAGAGAACGGTAAAACTTTGCAAATTTGTCACACTCTGGAGCACCTTCCCCCTTCGCAGCTACGCACCTGAAAATAGTTGGAACAGAATAGTGAAGACACTGTCAAAAACCTCAGCACCAAGATAGGATGTAAGTGATAAAGTAAAGGGCGCTCAAAGAACAGATGGGAGTGTTCGAGGGTGGGTGGGACACTGTATACTTACCGATGATACTCTACATATCGGGTAAAGCAATGCCTTGTCTGATTTGTTGTTGGGAAACGGAAATCTGCTGGTGCCGTCTCAATCTGGACACAAAAATAGAATGTTAGTGAATAGATTAAACAAATAAAGATAAAAAGATATAACACAGTATGCACTAAGGTAGAGAATAAAAAGAAATTATTGATAATTTTATAGGCAGATTAACCTTAATTGCAGGTGTCTCTTCAGCTGCTTCTTGATCACCTGAGTTTTCAGTACTATCCCTGCTTTCTTCAGCAGCAGCTTCAGTGGCAGGATTGGTTTCAGTAGCTTCTATGCCAGCAGCAGCAGGACTGGCTTCATTGCTTTCTTCGCCAGCTGGTGTAACTTCTGAGCTTTCTTCTGCAGCAGCAGGTGTTTCCTCAGCTTTCTCAGGAACAACTTCAGTCGCTGGATTCTCAACCACTTTTACTTCGACAGGTTTGGTAGCTAAATCAGGTTTCTCCAATGAGTATTGCTGGATGTGAAAGTATGCGGGAAAACACTTTAACCATTATTATCTTATGTCATTAAAAGAAAGGACTAACTAAGGAGCACATATAATGAAGCATGTAGTGAGTGGAATCGTTCTATCATTCTCCAGAAAACAGCCACAGGGCACAGCAACCAGCAGGATGCAATAATTTTTGGCGTTAACAACTAGGTTGTGGATTAATTTTTAAGCTTAATACAACTCGGTAGGTGGCATGTCTGGGAAAGGGGAAGGGGGGTGAGCACTCTCAGCAACATCACACTCAGTTAGGAGCATGTCGTTCAAGGTGATGTTTTTCCATCCAGGATACCCACATAAACTGCTTACTTATTTAATAGCCCAGTGTGTCTTGCCTAATTGATTGACTGGCCTAAAAAAGATCCTACTAAAACAATTGACTTGTTAAAGGGTTTTACAACGTAACATATTCAAAATAAATTGAAATGCATATCATCGATAGATAATCAAACCATAACATTTGTCCAAAAGAACATCCAGTCGAGTTCAAAACAGCAACTATGTGCCAACAACGCAGCCCGCGACCTTTGATCAAATTTTCACGTAATTCTGCATAACTTTAAATTAAATCAACAAGAAATGATGCTTTATTTTTTAAAAATGTATATTAAAAAAAAAAACTTTTTTCGGCACAACTAATCATCCAAAAATGACAAACTCGAACAAGAACGCATAAATTAAAAACAAATAATCATTCAACAGATAGAATTCACTGACAGCTTATTAAACCAGAAACTAGATCCATAATTGGATGCATAATTTCAAAACTTTTTTCACTTTAAATGAAATATTTGTGATAGCATCTAGATTCTAGATCGAACTAAATCGGTGACCACTGCCATCAACGAAATTGTAACATTTCGATACATAAAGAAGATGATCGGAATGTTACCTCAGCTAGGGTTTGGGTTTTGTCGCCTTGCGCCTCCGCCATTGATGGAATGCGATCTACCTCAGCTGCTCTCGCGTTTTATCCTAGGCCGCCAAGCGCAGAGAGAGAGAGAGAAATGGACAGAGAGAGAATTGTGTGGATAGTTAGGTCTACCGTCTAGAAGCTGAGAATTTAAACTGAGTTACTGCGGTGGTAAAAGTAAAAAATGATACTGATAATAAGTTGATGGCTGTAGTTCAGCTACCCGTCAGCTTTTTTAGCTAGACCGGTGCTCGGGGCTGGCCGGTTTTGGGCTTTCAATTGTTGATGCGATTAACATGGGTTGGGCTATTGACCCAAAAATAAAATAAAATTAGGTTGGGCTCATACACAACAGTTGGTCACGGAATTTATTTTGTCGTCCTATATGTGGTTTTTTAATCAAGAGATGCAGTGGAGGAGCTAGCTTCCATTTATTCGGGACCAAAAATGTAAATCTATCATTTGGGGAGCCAACAACACATGTTTATTACTTAGGGGACAAACAATATAGGTTTTCCAATATTTTCCCACCAATTTTCATAAGTTTAATATATATTTTACATCAAATGTTGGAGTGTGGGAGAGTCACGGCAACTTCAAGTTGAAGTGGGGCTCCACCGCTAAACGGAAGAGGGATTCAAACTTAAATCTCTTCAAACATTATAAAAAGTGATATTACTAGATTAAGAGTTAATTGATAAGTATCATTTGCACGTTAACTCATACATAACATGATTAACAAATGTCAAGTTGTCGTCGAATTATCTAATACGATGAATTAAACATGTGATGAAACTAATGATTGACTAGTAATGTATACAGAGTAACACAGCCTACAATTCGAACACAATTTCAAACAAACTTCCTAAGATATGTTGAGATGTGTTGTAAATTATAAAATGACTTTCTAACTAATGGAGTTACCTCCGTACCAAACTTAGACCAGTAGTCACACTAACACAATCATTTGCGTGTACAATATACTTACAGTACTAACAATAAAAAGAAAGAAGAATGCAAGAAATTTAGACCAGTACAAGAAAAACTAGAAAACAAGAAAATAAAAATGAATAAATAAATAAGAGAAGAGGAATCAGTCTTTTGATTAAGGTTCCATCTTAGAACTTTGACAGCTACAAAGGTATAACAAATTGAAATTATATGCAAAAAATTACACAACTTTTAAATTTTTATTTTTATTTTTTTTGGGGACAAAGTGACATCTTTTGATAAGGAGATTCGTATTGTCTACACATATGATTAGATGTTGGTTCTCTCCTCCTCCCTATTGACTCAATCTCTAATTGGAGATAAAGCTTGATTTTAGTTAAAGCTCATAGGGCAATGGAGCTATAAAAAGATCCTTGAGACTTTGAGTATTATATGAAAGTAGAATAGTTCTGTATGCGTATGAATAATGGTCAATTGTCGACTATTAAAGTATTTAGATACGTGAGTGATTGTTAACTATTGACACTTAGCGTACATATAGGAACCTAGGCACATTGTAATGAAAAAACAAGGGGAAATGAAATGAAGGAAAAAGAGATAAGGATTGAGAGAGATCAATGATCAAGTGCCCCCCACTTCATTATTGATTGGTACAACCTTTTACTCCTTTACCGTACAAATTGCATGATTGAAAAAATGGTAACGGGCAAGAACACCCTTACCAAGTAAAGAGCTTTAGATTTTGTTTGACCACAATAGTTCTTAGCTACTTGCACAAGAAGAACATGTTTAAAAATAGTTACTTCAAGTCATAAAACAAACCCAGCAAGCCTCCATGCATGCAAAAGACCAGGAGTTACACAAATCCTATATGAATGATCAAATTCCTCGACTTTACAGAAGGCAATGAGGTTTAAAATTCTGCAACCAACAACAACCAATGTCTTTATGTATCTGATTACACGTATTTTAAGGAGGCTTGCTATCTGTTTATCCCCAGACAAAGAGAAAATGGGAATTTTCAGGCAGATTGATAGGGTGGTGGGCTAAGATTTTGGGACATGGGCTAGTGAGAACACAGCAGAGGTTGTGCTGCTTTTTCAGCCTTTGTTTTTTCTAGGGAAGTTCAGAAAGGATGAGGATGAGAGACCAAACTTATTAAGGTAAGTGTAACGGCAATTTTGACCAGATGAGAAAGTTCCAATACCAATTCCAGCAGAGCCAACATTATTATTTGAGTTGGAAAATACCCAACAAGCATTAAATTCATATAAATATCAACATGGAAATAGAGCCATGTAGTTAAATCTTTACCAAACAGCCTGCAGGTGTTGTTTTGTTGGTTCCCCTACTCAAACCGCTGCGTCCAAAAAAGGGATTATCTTGTACATGGAAATGATAATAATAGCATTTAAACCCTTCCTAATCTGGGTTTGGGTATGAGATTCTTAAATTTTGACCGTGAAAACTTGATTCATGAACACCGTAAAAAGAAGAATGACACATTAGAGAAATGAAAAATCAAAAGGCAATCTCGTACGTAAAGATGAATGTCCTTAGCCTAAATGCATGACACGTACAGTAACAAGATTTTATTTAGAATGAAAATTTGATTGCATGAACAGTGAGGGTGAGATATAGGAAAGGTGGGATTCGACAGAGATTAAGTAAAAGATTAGTGAGAGATTAGAAAGAGAGAAGGAGAGATGCGTGGCTTGTATTACGGGTCATGTCCCTTCTCTTCTTTTAAGTGAAGAAAAAGAGACCAAAGAGACAAAGACACATCGGTTCTTTTGTGTTCTGGATTTGGGACCCTATCATATCTTTTATTTTTTGAAGAAAATTCTACGGTGGGAGAAAATAAATTTAATTCCATATTTTAAAATTTTATAAAATATAAATACAGATGGTCCGGTCTTGTCCCTACTCGCCGACTACCAGAGGAAGAAGATTATCTCCCATTTCCCCATTTCCCCATTTCCCACCACACACAGAAAAAACACTCATACAACAACTCAAACCCATTCAATCTACCGGGAGATATTTCAGATCTCTCACAGAGAGGAGAGAGTGAGAGAGAGTCTGTCTCTGTTTGTATGTGATTTTGTGGTGTTGTTTATTATGGATAAAAGCTGTCCATCTTCAACCTCTGACTCTGTTCTCACTTCTGCTACTACCAGCAGCGGTGGTGGCAGCAGCAGCTCCACCAGAGACAGCTACCTCAAACACCTCAACAAGCTTTCTCACAAGATCTCAAAACCCACAACCTCAAACAACAACACCTTCCTTAAAAAACCCAACTTTGAAAATCCAACACCTCCTCCTCCTCCTCCTGTTCCTCTTCCTCCACAACCTCAACAGCAACAACAGCAACAGCAACAGCAACATCAGCCTCCGGTGTACAACATCAACAAAAACGACTTCCGCGACGTCGTTCAGAAGCTCACCGGCTCCCCCGCCCACCCCGCCCGCTTCCCCAACCCCAAGCCACCCCCCCTTCCCCCCCCA